TTCCATTACCTCATTGTTTCTCTTGTCCAAGGAATAGAAGTAACTTAAATCTAATCCATCGTTGACTGGCTTGGATTGTAATATCCTAATTTTAATATGCATTATAATAGTGAACTTATAGGATGGCTTAGCACAATATGAGTAGTCTTGTGAAGAGATAACATCTTATCTGAAGTTTGTGGTCAGAATTGGAATTTCAAAGAGCTTTTTCTGCCCCCACAATCTCCAAAATAAAACATGTCAGAAAAGACACATTCTTATGATTTGCAGGCCCTGCATTTATTTCCTGGCTGCTCTTGTTTCTTGATGAATCTTCTTCTTTTACAAGACAGTGATAGTTCAGATGATGAATGTGTTGTAGCCTTCTAAGTTTCCTGGTAGAAAAGTTTCATGAGGCCCATAAATAAAATGTATCTTTGTAGCAAGCTTAGTTCTGCGTAGTCTGTAGGTGCCAGGTTTTCCTCTGCAATGGGTAGAGGAAGAGTTGCACTGAAATGTGTTTAACTTTAATCCTTGCAGTCTGGTAACTGAGTAAATACTGCAGAGTACCTTTGATAACAAAAAGTAAATACAGCTGACATTACATCCTTCTTTAAAGGTCTTCTACTTTGTATTTAGACACATTAGTTTCTTTTTTAAAACTTACTACTCTAGAGAGAAAATAAACGAATATACCAGGATGTTGTTGTAATTAAGCCTCTTTGTAGGCTGTCATCTTTTTTTTTTCTTCAGTTACTTTATGGCTAGGATTTAAAAAATGGTAGAAGAGGGAAAGCAAAGAAAATAGACATTGAGCATTGATATTAAATAAATGCTTGCCTTAGCAGATCTTACATTATAATAAAACATACATGCCAGGAACACTTTAGCCATATCGAGTATTTTCTCCCTGAATATTTTATCCTTCTTGAGGAATCTTAATGACTTGGATGTAAAATCATTTTGTCATATACCATTAACTGAAGAGCTGGATACCTCAATGTGTGCTTTATGATTCCTAGGCAGAAAGATGGGCGAATGAGTATCTTTCATGTGTGTATACTGTGTTCTGTTGTAATAGCCAAGCTATTATTTCAATACAAATGGCCTTACCTTGGGTGTTCTAACCTCTTTAGAGATATCTTGCAATAAAGGCACCTGTTATGTTCCAGCTATTCCAATTAAACATGCAGCTATCAAGTGTGTATCTCCATCTGTGGAAACAGGCTTTTTTTTGAAATGCTTTGTTTCTTCTCAATTACTCCTCTGTGCTTTTTTGGATGTTATAAACTGCTATGTGATGAGAAGTCTTTTTGTTACTGCCTACGGCATGTCTCTTCCCATTCTCCCTCATGGCACTAACTTCCTCTGCAGAGCTACTGTGCAGGTTGTGTGCATTTACAAAAGCAATGCTGGCAACTCAGTTTTACAAACTAATGGGAGTAAAACAATGGTTTTTGGGGGTCTAATGCATCAGGTTTGGATATTCAGCTTTAAGCAGACATCATAATCAAACCAATTCAAAGATGCTTTCTTAAGCCTGTCTTAAGGAAATTCCATCTTGTTTTACATAGCTTGAATGGCAATGGATGAAAAGTGAAGGTGGGTAAGCTTACTGGGAAGTCTAGAGAAAGAAAGGTTCTGTCACTGTTTTCAGTGACCTAAGACCTCAAGAGATGATCAGAAAAGACCAGTAAGTAGCCTATTATCCATGATAAAAGATTGACAGAACACTTGTCTTAACCAAGTGTTCTGAGTGGTTTTATTTAGCTGCTTCCCACATAGGTCAGTTATCTTAGCAATTGCAAACTGAGCATATGAACTATCGCTTTAGATTATGTTTTCATCTCACGAGAGGCAAAACACTACAGGTATCCAAATATGAGCTGATGAAGATAAGCACGTGCATACCTCAGCTTTAAGGAATACTGGAAGTAACTTTTTTGCTCTGTATTTTTGTCTTTTATGTAGAAAGGTTTTTTTCCTTCATATCTTGCATCTGGATTTCTTCAGTGTTGGTTCAATTCATAAACAGTTTCAGGACCAAACATGATTGATTTAGGGGGAAAGTGGGAGGAATGCTGTGGGTTTCCACGGAATTTTTTGCTGTGTAGCAGCGGAGCTGTTCAGGAAGCTGTGAACAAGCTAGGGGAACACAAAGCTTGTCTGTCATCTGTTAGAACTGGTAGATTCAGTGACAAGTGCTTGTATTTTCAAGCCATTGTCCGGTGTCAGATGTAACTTCAGATGATTTCTGATTTAGTGTGTTACTACTAACTTGTATGTGTCAAATAATGGATCACTAGTTAACATAAATAGGATGAAGTTGGGGGCAGGAGTACTTTGATAGCTAATAGTACATGAAGTAGCTCTTCATGTAATTGCTATGTCTCTTCATGTAATTGCTATCAGATTTCAATGGGGCATTATCTTTCATAGGATTTTTATTAATACCATGGTTGTCAAGCCCAGGGTGAATTTAGTATAGAATATGTGTGCTTCAGTCCTGAAGTTAATTCATGAGTGTCAGCTTCCAGTAATGTTACCTTCCAAACTGTATCACCAAGAATTACTAGCTTGGGAGTTGGAAGTGCTCACTGTCGTCTCCTTCCTTCTTTTTCAGTTTGCTGCTGGTTTGTTTTTCAATGGCTTCTCTGTGAACTTGTAGTTCTAGTACCATCAGACAACGTTCTGGCAGTATTGAATAAAACGCAAAACTTGGTATCCAGCCTGATGAAATACACATTCTTTCTTCAGATTTTTGGGTGCTTTCTTGACATGAAGGCAGTAGTAAAATGTATTTGCAAACATCTGTTCAAGGCTAAGACTCTTATTACCCATTATTACCATCATTATTACCCATTAAAGACTTATTTTATAAACAAATCCTTCTTATACATGTTTGATAATTTTATGTTGTGCCCTTGCCTCAAAAGCAAAGAAACTGTTACTGTATTGTGTAGTGTTGGTTCTTGAGTAACTCAGATACAGCTTCTGAGCTAGGGTTACATCAATATGGCTAGCAGTTGTGCTTATGCTTATCCTGGGTAGCCTGAACCCACAGCTGCAAAGGGAAGCAGGACACCAGGGCTGCTGAAAAAGAAATCTCCAAGTTGCTCTGGGAATGAATACAGCCGCATTTCCGGCCCTGTTCTGCAATTACAATGGGATTCTTGGGAAGCTGTTGTATTCGTAGGGTGGGGTTATGATATCCCTTTCCCTGTCCAGGATGAGATGTGTTTTATGGCTCCAAGCTGCAAGAAGTACCTGACTGTAGCACCCAGAGTAGGGAAAAGCCGGGCCAAAGGTTGGCCAAGCCTGTAACAATTACAATAATCCAAATATTGTTTGTTCAGTGTAACAATATAATTGAAATTTCATCCTGCTTCTGAATATTAAGTAAATAGAACCAGCTTGATGTCATTTTCCTGTGCTTAATCTAATTCAGTGAAAATAGAGCCTTTCCTCCCTGTCCCTGCTATACTGGTCCTTAGCTGTGCAAACCAGCTTGAAGGGCATTCCCAAATTCAAATTTGGGACTGAGCTGCCCTAAATAAACCTCATGAAAGGAGCTTAAGCCTGTGAATGAAAAGATAAGTCCCTGATTATATAGTGAAATTGGACTACTACAAACTGAGTTATTAGAAGCCTTGTGTGAGAATGCCATCATTTAAAAAAAAACAATCAGACAAAACTAACTTGTCTTGACAGCTACTTGGAAAAACCTCCTAGAGCCATAGTTTTAGGCTGAGGAGGTATGTCTGGTGCTAAAGACCAGACCTGTTGAAGTATTCTCTAAATCCTGAAATACTTCAGCTGCAAGGGTTTAGGTGTACTGATTTCAACTCACCCTCAGAGGTATGCACACTTCCTGCAAAGAACTGTGAACTGCATCTCTTCTCTAGTTAACAGCTGGGTGAATCTGTATGAATTTGCCTCTCTAGGAGCAGTTACTAATGTTACATCTTCTAAAATATTGATCTTGTAGGGAA